ACCTTAGGCCGTTGTTTATTTGAGGATAAATTTAATAAGAGTTTAAGTGTCTTTGTTTTGAGGTCATTGAAACAAATGTCAATACCATACAGAATTTCTTGCTCATATAAAACCACTAGAAAGATCCCTATGTTTCCAAAATACAGGTACTCGTTGGTTAAAGGTCAGTCCCTCTAAAACTTGACCTTTAACATTCTTTAGCACCATTCTCTGTCAAAATGTCACACACTGCTGTAATTTGTATTTGATGATGGTCTGTAATACCTTTAAAATGGCTAATTTTGTTCACTTTGAAATTGTGGATATATTTCAACAATTTATGCTTTCAGTGTTAAAAGTTTGATTGGCTTCATCACATTTGGAATAAACTTAATTAAGATGTAAAATGCTGCGGTAACCATAATTTAGATATGGACTGTTATTATATAAACTCTTGCACTAACCTTAATTTAGGTAAGTCCTGTTATGGTAACCATGATTTAAGTATAGACTGTTACGGTTACCTTGATTTAGATATAAACTCTTGCACTAACCTTAATTTAGGTAAGTACTGTTATGGTAACCATGATTTAAGTATAGACTGTTACGGTTACCTTGATTTAGATATAAACTCTTGCACTGACCTTAATTTAGGTAAGTACTGTTACGGTAACCTTAATTAAGGTATAGACTCTGGCACTGACCTTATATTACTTTAATTACAGTCTTGTCTACTTATGTCATTAGAGTACAGGTAATATTGTTAGGATGTTTCTAGTGTACAGGTAATAGTGTTAGGATGTTTCTAGTGTACAGGTAATATTGTTAAGATGTTTCTAGTGTACAGGTAATATTGTTAGGAGGTTTCTAGTGTACAGGTAATAGTGTTAGGATGTTTCTCGTGTACAGGTAATAGTGTCAGGATGTTTCTAGTGTACAGGTAATAGTGTTAGGATGTTTCTAGTGTACAGGTAATATTGTTAAGATGTTTCTAATGTACAGGTAATAGTGTTAGGATGTTTCTAGTGTACAGGTAATATTGTTAAGATGTTTCTAGTGTACAGGTAATAGTGTTAGGATGTTTCTAGTGTACAGGTAATAGTGTTACAATGTTTTCTGCCTGAAATTTTCATCTCCATAAAACAAAGGATAATGACATTTGTTGAATGTGCTGGGAACAGTTTTATAATTACTTCCCTACAACCTGTCATTTAATCTGCCTGTATGGATAAAGGTTAGTTAAATGTGATTAAAGTTTATAGAGACTGTTTGAGACTACTTTGCCTTACATTGTGTTAAAATGGGCAATAATATCGATCCTTAAGATATTTATCAGAAACCAGTGTGTAAATCTATACACTGACTTTCAAAGGTATATCACACAAACGGGTTATATCAGATTTTAATGGTAACTATGCTTTGACACACTGGTTTTCCTTAACCGTTTACTGGCATGGTTGAACTACTTTGTTCACATAACCATCAATTTTAATCGGAGTTTGGATTTTATCGCTAGTTTGCATGTCAGAGGGTAGTTCCTTGTATCTTTTAGCTGACGTTAGTCCCAGAGCTGACTAATCTCAGAGAAGATGTTTTTATCCACCATTGCATCCATTAAAAGTCACCACAAGGAGGTGACACCATAGAAAATATGCCCAAGTCACATAAAATATTTCCCGCTGGGTAGCCCAACTCTTTAGTGTTTCCAGTGAAAAAAATACATCATTTATAGCTTTCGTTTTTATTTGAAAATCATTACTGGAATCTTGGTTTGAAAAGCCTGGTGTATAGATATTGTGTCGTTGATTTCTGTAGTAAATAGGATTACGACTCAGCACAGAAAATATATTTGAATTCTATGTCTCCCCTCCGGTTATTACCATCTGCGGGAATTACAGAGTTCACCGGTGTGTGCATCGCATGTACATGTATTTTATTGGCTCCCTCTGGTGGTGACTTAGGGCAGGTCACAACAGTGACATTCCTTTACATAGCCTGTTCACTGGAGCTCTTTATTGTGATATTCAGAAATCTAGCTAACAGAAGTCTTGTATTACAGATTTTTTCCCCTCTACATACCTGAACGTGGTGAACAGAAAAATGTAATTTTACTATATTATATCAGCATTATACAAGACAAGAAGACAATAAACATCTTTTGATAGATATGATATTTATATTCTTAGGTCTTCTACTATTTGATACATTGGTATCAAATTTATAATTCAATATAAGATGAAACAAATTTGATTAAAATGAATTAACATTTTGCATGAATAGAAAATTCGGACAAAAGGTAAGAAGTTTCACAGGTATAATATTATACAATGTACAATAATAGATTTTTTAAATTCTTTCCTTGTTTAACATTGTATTTTTTCAGACTTTTGGAATTCATTAAAGGTGTAGAATGTTTATGAATGGGGTCAGAGATAATTTTATCTGTTAATCTCTCATCTTTTCGTGTAAAAGTAGGGGGATAAAGCAGGATATGATTTCTTAGCATCATGTGGTTATTAATGTAATTTACGCTTTGAACAATACCTTCTATACAAACAGTGTGTTAGCTCCATTTAGGTATTTATGTAGTTGTGCTTTCTTACATAGTGATATCAAAATCAATGTTCATTATAGAAACCAGCTTTTAACAATGCTATCACTCTAGGCGCTGCTTTAGAAAAAATTCAGAGGACCTGACTAGGTCTCTGAATTTTTTCATATTGATAAAGAGGAAAGATCTGACAACCATAAATTATGTTGAGTCTTGATCAAAGAGACTCCCATATTGATATTTAAATTACAATAAACATTTTATTTTGAAGTACAATTAACAAACTGATGCCATCATTGATCACAGATTGTTTGAATATGACCATACGCCGATAATAAAAAAAGATTGGCAATGATGTTAAATGTAATTTTGTTTATTGATGTGTTTTTTTAAAGATATCATGAATGCTTATATAATCAAATGCAACATGAAGTGCTCCAGGAGGACAATTAATTACAATTGGTGTCTCGGAAGATAAAAGTGATTCCTTGATTACAATGAAAAATATGAATCACACTTGCATGCATGTACATGGGCTATACAGATCTATACAGTATCAGCCCTCATCGTTCCAACCATGCAAGCCGATCATAACTGTTTTAATCACCATCAAATAATGGCATTTTGTCACACATAGTTTGACATTATATAGACACTCTCAAGGGCAATCTTGCTAGAACGTAATATGCTTTTGTCAGCTATAAGGAACACTTAATTAGGTCAAACCGTACTGATTTAGCTGAGAAACCTTAAAACTTCTGATCGATATAGTCAGTATTTTGTTATTTTCTTCAGGGGGCTGATTCCCAATGAAATGACAAGAGTGATGAATTTCGTTGGGCTAATCTAGAAAATGGCTGATTGTATCAGACTGATTTTGTTTAGACATGTCTAATTTCCTTGTGGTGAAGATTATAGATTCCCCCCATGATAATACTATCATCTGTAGCAGATTCATGTTGGTCCAGTATGCAGCGGAACAGTTTAGTCATCTCTCCGTAAGGCTGGAGAATATTTGATGTATGTTTGGTAGTATTGTACACTGTTTTTATGATGGATCATTTCCTCCGATTACAGATTTGTCCCAGCGACAGACTGACTTTAGCAGTGTGGTGTTGGATAGTTTAAACTCATCTATTTAGGAAAGGCAGAGGACAAAGCTGGTTGTGTGTTTGATGCATGCCTTTGATTATTACAGGGTGATTTTATTCGATTGAGTAATTTTCTTGTGAATGATTAGAGAATAATTTGTTTCTGTTTCAAGAATGCTGGTTCAGTTAAAACGAGAATGAAAATAAAAAAGAGGACGAAAGTTTCAATTCATTTTACTTAATATTCTTTGATTAAATTGGGCATTTATTGATATATTCAATATTCAATATATGGATATATTCAGACATTAAGAGTCTAACAGGCACCTAAATATTTGCCATTAATACTCCGTAATTTGAGAAAAATCAGCTCAATGACATTGTAAGCGGTTGTTATATAACACTATTATGACATCACAGTCGAATGTGTTTTTGTTATTTTCCTTCATGGTAGAATAATCAGGCAAAATTGATTGTATTCAGAGTTTGGAGAAAAACCTACAAAAAATTCATCATTCCTATATGTAATTTGATTCTGAAATCTTTAATACGATAAGTGCAATAAGATCGGGCACAGACAAAAAACTGGTTGTAAATCTAGAGATCTTAATTCATCAATTGTTTATGATGTTGTTCAGCTGAGTATGTACCTGTATGTACAGTTGGTATACAGGTAGTCAGGTCTGATGAACTGTTAAGTACACCATATATTGATTTTGTATTTATGTTTCTTAATTTTTTTTGTGATTGTTATATCAAAAGCGAAATGAAACAAAAGTTCAACATTCTGATTATAACATTAATGTGTTTAAAAAATACTGTTATTTGATAATTGATTTATAGCCGAAAGACGTTAGATTGTGAGGTTGAGATTTTCTTTTAACAAGAAAAAAAATAGATAAAATTATACAAATGAAAAATAAAAAACAGAGCAATTTCATTAGGATAATGAGATACAGGAGGAAGTTAGAAGTCTTCTATAAATGAATTTAGATTCAGCGATATCTTAAAAATGGCAGCAAACTTTTACTTGATATCAGACTGATCTGTTCCTATTCATTTCTCAGAACTTTGAGGCAGATTAAATGGCAGTGCACATGTTTGAAACTTTATCATGCCAATTTTTTTATGACAGAGATTGAGTTCTGTACCAAGACCTCTTCAATCACCGAATGTTTGAGACATGGCAGGATATCTCATGCAATATTCATTGGAAAATTTAACTTTTTGGGATCGAGACAAAAATCACTTAAGTGCTATCCCTGGTGTAATTGTTACAAAACCAAAATTGTAAGGGGATCCACAACCATCTCTCATCTGTCATAGCTCTGACAGGATTTCTTTATTGATTTCTGATTGTAAATCCAATGATAACTTACCTTTTGGAACTAGATTCTCCACAGTCGGAGACCAGTATATTCCATCCTCGATAATGTCTGTTATTGTCAGCTCATGTTGTACGCTGTCCTTTGAATTACCTTGACGTTTAAGTACAAGGCTGTTTTTATCTGGTACTACCTTATAATGTAAAGGCGGTTTGATAAATCCACTGAATTTGCCTTTGGATTTACGAAGTTGACTCTTAACTTTGAATTCATTTGTTTCTACTTTTTCATCTTTTAATCCATCATCATAATCATCATCCTCATCTTCTTCTTCCTCCGTTTCCTCTATCACAACCTTTTCAATGTCCTCTTCATAATCATATTCTTCACTTTCGTCCCTTCCATTGGTAACATGATCTGTATTTTTGCGGTTAGGAAAATGCTTTACTTCAACTTTCATTTCCACATCATTTGTTCTCAGAAAATTAGATCTCCTTTCCGTCAATTTCACAGTTTCCTTTAAGTTCACATTTTGATAATTTCCATTGAGTTGTAAACCTCGAGGCCTGCTATTACTGACCATTATTTGGCCACTATCTGAATCACTATGAAATTTCTCAATTGCGGCTTTTGGTTGACGCTGACTTCTTGCAATGATATGATTTCCGCCTAATTCTATATCTGAATCCATCAGAAGCTCTGAATGGACAACATTTTCAATGTTATCAACACTATCAGATCGCTGTAGTTGGTTGACCATGATATTTAATGTCAAAACAAAACTTAACAGGAAAAATGTCATTGTAAGTAATAACGTCTTGCGTTTATGCACTCGTGAAAAATACATTGTTTTTTCTTTTTGTAAACTGATTATAGGATTAAGTCATTTCTTTTTTTCGCACAGAAAATGTCATTTTGCTACTGCTATAAATCTATACACACTGGTATGATAAATCTCACAGTTGTTGCACATGTCGTTTCCATGGCTTCCAAACAAGAATTCAAATGAGACCTGCATGCCATCAGTATTTTATTTCCATGCATCCTTCACAAATGGAATTGACATTTAGTGTGCGGAATCGCTTTTGATTTTGACATCGGCTGCTGAGTTGGATTTCAGTATCAACACCAGATGTAGAATGTATTTCCAATCCACACATTAAAAATCCCAAGTTCTCTTTTAATGTTTTCCGTATATATACCATACAGATTCCAAGTTTTCTTGATAATCTATTCCATGCTTGGCAAGCAATCATAGGATTTTCTTGAGAGTAGGATATGAGAAACAGATAAACACAGTAGCTGTAACTTGTAACACAACCTTCTGAGCTACGCAGTGTATTCTATAGATTTACCTGCTGGCTGAGGAAAAAAATCATTGGAGTTGACACGTCACACAGAAACACCTGTGTCTTTACACTGGCAAGCTAGTCCTGTACTGTGGCTGCTAGGGAATCTGATTCTTGGAGAGCTATTGGATTTCCTTGCCTTTATTCCCCTGTGCTCTCCCTGAGCTCAGTGTTCACTTGAGTAGCATGTTCAGATTACGGTCTGTTGCCACTCTCGGGAGTTTCCATGAAAAATTCTCCGATAATTTTCTGTGTTGGTTTGCTGGCACTTCCTTCTGAATGAGTGAGCGCCTTGATAGAGAAGTGTAGACATCAAACATGTAAAAATAAATCTCCACTATAATTAGGTTCTCACTGCTTTTGAATTACACAGGAGGTTTGTTGACAATGGAAGCCGGCTGTACCAGGGACATTCAACAGTAAGACTCTCTCCTGCAGGTTTTTGTTGACACAGGTTCTGTATAGTATATAGAATCAGCCTTCAATGAGTGGTGTTGACTTAGGTTCCAGTTCTGGTCTCCTCAAGACTGGTATATACTTTATTGACTCAGAGCCTGTGTAGTGCTGTACTACGTGGACAGTGAATTGAGAGCGCCTGCTGCAAATGTTTACCCTCCCGTGTGACGCAGTCCTTGATCCCCCCACCCTCATTCACACCGTCACACACAGCCACTAACAACAGTCAATAGAATTCGACAGCTCGAAGAGGCGAATAAATTAACATTGTCACCGCTGACGCGACAGAGGTGACAGCCCTCTGTGGTCCTGAAATGACAACAACTTAACACAATAAAGCCTCAGGAATGGACAAGTCACTTGTCCCGTGGGGTGGGGGTATTTGTTGTTGATGTCCCAAGTAAGTGATAAGTTCGGGTTTCCTTTTACACTTAATTCTGTCTCCTAGGATCAGGTGGAGTACATATCCCCTGGGGTAGGGCTGGTACAAAGCCTGTAGTCTTGGAAATGATGTTAAATCTCCTATTACACTTCCCTTTCACTGGGAGTCTGACGAGAGGTCATTCAACAACTGCTGCTGTTGTTCGTGGGTTCACAACCTGTGTGAGAAAACAAGAAGGGAATTATATTTAACAAAAAAGTATCATACACTTTTACAGAAATAACTGAAAGTTTAATATTTGGATAATATAATCATACTCTTATCATCATAAAAACAAACCTGTTTAGTGTCTCAATGTTAAAGAACAACAAAACAACACATATTTTCAGGTTTTACAAAAATGGGTATGAAAATTGTTTTGTGTTTGAATAAATAACAAATCCAGTTTTGATTGGTGTTGGTTTTTGTGAAGAAGCCATGGATTTCAACCCTATGATGAGAGAAGTATGAATGAAAATTCTCTTGAACTAAACTGCATGTTTTTATCGTTTAGATGGGGGATGAGAAACTATGAACTACTATCAATATTCCATTTTCCTTTTGTTCAGCAACATATTGGTTGTAAATGAATTAGACAATGGTGTCGTTGCACCCTGGATGTATTTAGTGATAAAAGAGGAAAGTTTGGCTTCAACATAGACTATTTATATAACAAAATTGCTATTAAGTTCAAAGAGAGATATGTCAGATATTTTTGTTCATTAAAATATTTACCCGGAGGAAGTTGCAAATATGTTTCATTGGATAAGGTAATATTGAGTAGAGGAAAAATCAATTCTTTTAATAGGTTGTGTGAGTTATAATTCAATATTCTCAATGAAGTTCTACATGGAGTGTAGCACTTATTAGATTAAACAGAGTATGTGTGTAACTTGTAATAAATCAGGTTATCATTTAATGGATGATATGTAGGAAGCAGACGGCAACATCTACAACATATATTATTGTTGCTACAGTGATCACATACTGAATTAAAATCTAATTTACAGCAGAACATTTAGGACTTAGAGGTATTAGTATGAAGTGTTTCACCAAGCCTGTTCTGATAACATTCACCAACTCCAGAATTCTCCCCAGGCGAAGATGTCTCCGGGGGAAATACACGTTATAGTGAGAGAGGAGACGAAATGGTGATCCTATCGTCCTGCTACTTATTTAACTTTCAAATACGGCAACACATTAGATATACAATATCAGGAATTTAAATATGAATAGGATTACTGTACTGAACCTTTATCTTCACTATTATAATAGCTAATCATTGAAGATGGCATGCTTGCCGGTAGACATTTTAAGTGAAATCTTACATATTCTCATATCACATTTTGAAATTCTGTTTGTCATAGAAAACCTTGCCTTTGATCGAACCCGCTCCCTTTTGATATGAATTCAACTAGTTCCAATATTTGATGCAGACTATTCCATGTTACGATATAGGTGTGACATGTTATCAATTTGATTGCATGCCAAAAGACAATCTTGCATGCTGTGTTGGACGCCTGGTCTCGGGTCTGCTAACCAATATGAGGATAGGATGATTTCTGTATTGGTTTTTGTGTTCCGTAATTGGATTGGTCATATCATCACTATCAGCGAAATGTTTAAATAGTCACCCACATTGACTGGAACATGATTTGATTACGTTTTAGTACCCATTTGATAATTGTGATGGTCTCCTGTTCTCTGTTCTCTCTTTTTGTCAAACACTCCTTTCTCTTATTTCTCTGGGTTTTCTTTCTTCCTGGGCTCTCTTTTTTCCTTCTTCTGATACCATACACCGTTTACCTTAAATAATAACACCCCTCCGTTGGTACATAGTAGCCACCTACCCCCTCCCTCCCTCCTTCTTCTCCACTATCACAATTTCCTTGCATCATCCTGTTAGTGTGAAAACTTGCGATGAGTAATAAAGGTCCTGATTTGATAATAAATATTGATGCATCATGCAAAAATAGAAAAGTAGGGATGATTGTCCCGTAGGGTGTATAATCTCCCGAGGAATGGCCTGTACAACATTTACATAAAATACCACACTTAATGGATACCCGCGAGATGTCTGCCTTCATTTCTATGGAAATTGGAATCAGGTGATGTTCTGTAATGATTTTGCAAGGAATGGTTGGAGAAAGAAAGAAAAATTTTCCACTGAATTTATGTGAAATGCAATCTAATGAAATAGTATTAACCATGAATAATAACAAATAGCCAGACACGGTGAACTGAAATTACACCAGGTTGCTGTAAATTCTGGGAAAATTTTAAGTCCTATTAATAAGATTGGTTAGGTGTCCAGAGTAATTCTTATCAAGAACATTTGCCAAATTTATGGAAGATATAGCATCTCATGGAGTCTTATTACGGATTGGGTATCGTGGGCAGACAATTTCTGGGGAAATAAAACTGGTTTGTTGTTAATTAAAGTGATCCTTTCGGAATTCTAATCTCATTCCATAGCCTGGCCAAGAGTCAAATTTTCATTATAAACGTAAAATTGGATCATTATTTCCTTAAATTTGGAGACGATGGAATTTTTCAATTTTGCACCATAGCATTCATGTTTCCTAAAGCCTTTAGATTTTAGATTTATCAAATATTTACACAGGTTTTTAAACCAACCACATGTTTTTCATTCTAATGTATATCCCATGACTAGTGGCAAAAAAGGCTTCTACGTCAAAGGCATGCAGTCCATGGTGCAAAGAAAACACTTAGGCACCTTGCCCTACAAAATTAACCCCTAGGGTATCATGACAGATTGAAAGAGAAAACAGTGCCTCATGTAGCGAAAATATTCCTCCGAGAATCACAAGGAGAAAAGTCAAACACTTGTTGGTGCCATTAGGTGCAAGGTTAGCTAAAATGAGTTCAGTTTTTTTTTTAACTTGTAGCATTTGGAGACATTATGATACTGAGCGTAAATTTTTCAACAAAATGCGGAGACCATATCTCCATTAGGTTATTGCAGTGAAAGTGTTATTGTATTGCATGTGAGTGACTGGTATTTCAAGACAAGGTAGCTAGATTGCTGCAGGACCAGTCACCTTTTCTTGTCACATATTTCTTACTCACTAATAGGCTTCTGTTGAGAATTCATTTCCAATTCTTGAGAAAATGTAATTAGTTGCTGTTTCTTAAAGCCCACATTATATTGCCATGGAGGAAAATAGCATTACAAAAGAATAAAATAGCATACAGCAATTTTGTACTCAGTTCAATGAAATACATCAGGCTCTAGTCAGGAGTATTGATGTTTAACAGGAAATTTAAATGAAATGGGTTTTCAGAAAGGAAACCTTCAATTTAGTCCATTTACATACTTCACATAAAATTGCATGTTTTGTTAAAATGATTTGCTGTGTTACATTACTTTAGAAATTGAATTCAAATGTAAATGTTCGCTAATGGCGAGGTTTTATGCCTAAACGACTACCAATACGATTTGGATAAGGTCTTTGAGAGTTCTGAGGAAACTTAGTAGTGAAAAATGTCTGTGTATCTTTCACTATTAGCTCTGAATGGTCTGAATTTTTAAAATTTTGAATATATTTGTGAGTTTTTTAAATTTCTTATGAGAATCGCACAATACAAAGAATGTTTGTGTAAGGTATTGTTAGTTTTGTTCTAGCTGAGGATCTTTGACAATTAGAAAAATAGGAGTTATCTGAATTTAGCTTCATGAAGATCATAATGTTCTGACGGTTTGCACTCGGTGACATTTAGCCCTGCTTTATAGTCCCTAAAGGCCTAAAGGGCTGTTTCTTATAGTCAAAGTGTGCTATCTACCCAAAAGTAAACAAAATCCAAGACCGGGTTCACGATTTTCAGAAAATCTTTCTTTAATTTCTCAATTTATGATGGAACAGACTGCTGTACAATTATTAGGAGAAAAAAAACCCACTGTTATTTTATCAAATGAGAAACTTATCTAATGTGTAAAGCCAGGAGGTGGGTCTAATTGAGGACAATCAAGTAAGTTTTGTTTTTTATTCTACCAAACAGCAAATGGATGAACTTATTACCAAGCATGGGCTTACTGTAGTGTACACAAACTAAAAGTAATTCTGATACCTATAAAAATCAGGTTAACAGCTGTTTATCAACATAGAAGATGGGTTTTAAGTTCAGTGTGATGGATGGGTTAGGGTTCCTTTGTGTAAGAGGCTTCCTGGACTTGGAAATTACTTCTGGAAAGACTTCTGTTCTACACTGTAATGGACTGTAAACATTATGTGTTTCTGTGAAGGGATGCTTTGTATTGTTAGTAAATATGGTGACAGACAGCCCCGTTATGGCGTTTGGCTAGGAAGGGTCAGTGATAGTTAGAAAAAAGTTTGGATGGGCTGACAGGAAATGGGCTTGACATCAGATTTTTGGACTTGTACCTAAACTGCTCATTGATTAGAGATCAAAGTTCTAGAGAAATTCCAGATACTATTCTTTTTCATAGGATTCATTGCCATGGTAAAAGTAATGGTAGTCTAGTGATTACAGCTGAACCATCATCAATAAGGGAGCTGCCATCTTGTATTATATTCTGTAATTGGCTCCAAGATGAGTGCCAGATGAAGACATCCAAGATCCATAGCTTTTAATTAGTCAGTACTAATTGACATTGTCAGCTGGCGAGTCACACTGAGAAGTGTTTCAAAGACATCACCAAAGAACATGAAAAATGACCAATCGGATTACAGGGTTCCCTTATGTGTAGAATTCCTAGAGAAACTTTTTTTGAAGATACATGTTCTGAGAGGAGGACAAAGGACGACAAATGTGTCTGTGTCAGTGATAATGGGTCAAGAAAAAGGCAGATGGTGAAAATGACCCTATTTAAATCCTAAATTGGTGTGGAAAGGATTTATTTTCATTATGGTAATTACATTTGGAAATATCGCAAAATATTAAATTAATGGACCACAACTGACAATTTTTGTCCTGAACAATAGGAGAGATGATTTGTTACAATTGTATGGTGACAGGATGTCATCACCGTCATTGTACCATATAAATAAGACTGTAATCATCTAGCACCTCTTTTCACCTACACTTAACAATCAATTACCACCTTTCATCACATCAAGTGATGCAGCTTTAAGTTGGAATCAAATGATATTAAACCTCATTTAAGGATGAACGCTATATCTTTCCAGGACAAATGCA